GTTTTCTTTACTACATCGCTCCGTTCGATTTAGAGCATGTGCACTGGGTCAGGGTGTTTATGTTTGAAGAATTTGCTAGATTTATACTATTTATACTCTTCTCTTTTTTTTTTTTTTTTTTTTTTTTTTTTTTTTTTTTTTTTTTTTTTTACAATTTTTATATTATACTAAAAATTAAATTTACATTCTAAAAATTGCATCAATATTTATTTATATAGCTACAGCTAAAAAGCCTATATTTAACTTCCAAGACCTATAGAAGTCTTCTAAGGAGAGTGTATTTTGAGTTTGAAAAAAATTAGTTTGTATTTGCAATTAAAATAATATTTGATTGAATGTTTTGTAAGGAAAAAAAATTATTTTTTTCGACCAATGAAAATTTAAATAGTAAAATGTGAGAAAAATTGATTAAAGAAACAGACCGTGTAGAAACTAATAAAAGGAGCATATACACACAATGATTCGTACAAATGAATTTTTAGTTCAGATTTTTTTTTTTCTTCTTCTTTTTCAGCCAGGTTGATAGAATTATTAAATTTCTCCTGTCATTTCAACCGCATACAAAATATTTCATCTATTTCGTTTTGTTTATTCACGTCTGTGTCGGTTTGATCGTTCCATTATTCATCAAAAATAAATTAAAAATTTCCATGAGATTCTAGCTTTCTCCATTAGTTGTTTGATTTTGCCTTTAAGGTAAGTATTTGTTTAAGTATTTAATAGTAAGTAGATATTGAGGAAAAAATCTATAATTAAGCTAATGAGTGTCTATTTTATTGCTTAGTCGAAATTTTGCTAATTTTTACAATCTCTATGTTTAATTATTGAGGCGAAATGTTCTGGTTTGATGGGTATGATCGATCATGTTGATTGTTGCATTTTTTTGTTCCTTTGTCTTTGATGTTGACAAATTTTTTGTATAAATGATTAAGTTCGATAAACATCCAATTTTATAAATGACATTTTTAGCTTTACTATTTTTTATCATATCACTCTAATATAGATAATTAGTTCATAGTCAATGCATGAACCGCATGTATTATTATATCTATTTGTTTGAAAAATCCACCTTTTAGCACTCTCCTCAAAGGTATTTGAGTTTAGGTTTTACAAAAAAAAAAAAAAAAAAAAAATTAGATTTACAGTTAAAAATATTATTTCAAAGAAAAATTACTTTCACTGAACTTATTTGTGACCCCAATAGACAAGAACATATGTCAAATTAATTATTATTTAAATTGTTTCACTAGGAGTTCTATCCCTACGATACCCCACTTTAATCAATACTAAATTCTGATTACAACTAAGAAAATCGACAAGGCTCTCACGTACATAATTGCTATGAAGCATCTATACTCTGTTAATAAGCATAGATAGTCAATCCTTCTATGTATTTCCATAATCTTATCAGAAATTTAACTTAAATAACTCCAGTGTGAACATGAATGAAGGATATTTTTATGCCGATTGGATATCAAATAGAATTGGCTCATTTTCTAATAAGTGGATACATGTTCAAAATCAAAAAATATATTGTGTCATGCAAATCAACTAAGCAAATGTGCAAAGAACAATTCTCCACGGAATTAGAATTTATTTCTTTGGATAAAAACAGGTGAGGAAGTTGAGTGGCTTTGACAACTCTTAGAAGAGATTCCATGTTGAAATAACATATGCCCACAATATCGATATATTGTGATAGCAAAGAAGCAATTGGAAAAACATAGAATGTAAGGTACAATGATAAGTCATAGAACATTCATCGTTGACATAATACCATACGAGAATTGATTTCATGGAGGGTGATCTCATTAGACTATCTAAAGTCTAAAGATAACATATTGAATCCGCTAACCAAATGATTTAACCAAGATCAATTTTAAAAGTTGCTTGGAGGAATGTGTTTGAAAGTCCATACTTAAGAACAACAGCAGTGGACACCTAATTATGATGAGTAAAGATTCCACAAACTTAGTTCAATGAGAAAACTAAACTACATGAGTTTGCATTGCAACACTTGGAAGACAAATCTTCTATCATTCATTGAGTGAGAAAGAGCGAACAACAAGTGTTAATATTCCTATAAGTGATATAAACTAAGCGTTGAACTTTTAATGACTCTTTATGATTCATTAGTAAAGTATGTCAGGATACTCACAGGAGGTCACCTATGCAAATGCGGAATGAGGGATGCTTCAAACAAAACAGTTGTTAAGACAAAGGTATTTTCAAGGCCCGAAATGAAAACAAAGATGAGAACATGCGAGAGATGGGATGTTATCGTTTTGATAACATTGTTCAATATATGTTGTGATATAATAGTTCAAGACAAAAGTTACTAGTCTGCTTATATGTCCAATGGTATTAAAAAGAGGATGTTCAAAAACAAAAATTACTTTACCCTGTACAATAACATTTCTTTGAGGAGAATTGTATCATTACAATCCGTGGATTGTTTATTTTCACTCATTGAGATATTGTAGAAATTATAATTTTGAGTGAATTTTAGAAATTAAATATTCCCTCCGTCCTATTTTACAATTTTCGTCCGTTCAATTCCAAAGTATTAATTTTTTATTTTAATAAAAGTAATCATACATTAATACCAAAATACTCTTTAACTTTTACTTATATTACAAATATACAATTATACATAGAAATTATTTATATAAAGTCAAAGGACAAAAAATATCAAAACCTCTTATATACTTCCACTAATCAATAAAATACTATTATTATTTTAACTACTACCAAACCGCAAATGGCCTCTTTGGAGTGAGACATAGGGAGTATTGAATAAATAATTAATTATTAAAAATTAAATATTTAATTTATTTTCTCAAAATAAAATTCCAATGAATGAGGAATAAATGAGATAATTAGTAAAATATTATAAATCATATAACATAAAAACACGTAAACTCTCCAGTAGTCGAAGTTTCTCCAGCCGTCTTCTCTCTCCAAAAGTGCCTTTAGATCACTATCACTTATGCATTTGTCTTTCCGTTTATGAGTCCGTACTCTTATGGGAATCAATTAGCACCATATGGGATGCCATAAATATGGGCAATGTCTTTGTCCGAAATGTACCATTCATCTTCATCTGATAACGTAAAAACACTGCTTCTGTGTATCCCATAAAGTAATTAATTGCAACATCGGCGCCATTGGAATGGAGTGGCCACTGACAAGCAAGAGACCATTGAAACACTATTTTGGATGACCGATTTCCTCAAGTCGTTGACCAAGCTAGAAAGTTGTTGATTAACGTTGTTGATTTTTCCATATGACAATTGCACATACGTTTTCTTCAACTTGGATGTTTTAACCTCCTTCACCATTTTTTAGAATAACGACAGCGATATGAAATATTGAGAAATGACAAGCACACAACGAAAATGATGATAGGTAGATTAATTCACAGACAATTAATCGAGAAATGAAAGAATGTAAAATATGGTAATTTTTATAACTAGAAAATATTAATAAAATCTTCTTACATATTTAAACAAGCAAAATACAACATAATAATTAGAACATTATATCTTCTCTACTAGCTCAGCTCGTCTTCATAAATAATGTAGTTTGGAAAATGGAAAATCTTGAATTTAAAATAAAAAAGTCAATTAGATTACGAATTGGATTATGCATAATTCTAGAATTGCACAGCCTTAATCGCGGCAAGGATATTGGATTGGAATAATGAGCCGCAGTTATAGAATTATTCATAATTGTCTTATTTATGAGATCATTTTAATATTATTTTACCATCGCATCTCTTAGTAAATTTAATAATTTAATATTACTTGATGACGATCTAAATGATGTTGGTAAATTTGTACCGTGCTGATACACAAGAATGTCAGCACCCTAACCGCTTCCATTTATTTTGAATAATTAGTTTGAATAATGCATAATCTTTTATTTACTATGGTTAATTAAAGCCCTTAATTACTCCAACTTCGTAATAATAAAATAACTAAATTATTAATAATATTAAAAAAACTATATTATTTTTCCTTTATTGATAATTAATATAAAATGATTATGTCTTATAAATTAAGGTATTTTGGGTAAAAACAATGATGATATCTAATAATCTATTAAACATTAAATTATTTTTATCTTGTATTATATAATTCTTAAAAATATTATTATACATTATAAACTTATTTTTACAAACTAAACATGTCCTATTGTGCATATATATAATATTTGCTTCTCATCTAGTTTTCAAGTAATCATAATATACAAAAATTGTTTATAATTTACTTTTGATTTGAAAATTTTTACATCATACTATCTTATAATTTAAATATGAATGAAACTCCTCATGTTTTAAGAATAATGACATAAAATTTTTAAAAAATTGAATGAAACTCCCTCTTATTTTTGAAAATATTCTACCATATTATTTTATAATTTAAATATGCATAGACTCTCCTATGTATATTAAAAAGACATTATATAAAATTCCTTAAAAATAAAATGAAATTTCCTCTTATTTTTTAAAATATTACACATAATCCACCAACTTATAATCTACTTATAGTTTCAAAATTGCACAATTATCTTTTTATTATTATTATTTAAAAATTGTATAAAACTTCTTTATATTTAAAAAACATAGAACAAAATTTCTTAATTGCACAGTTTTCAAACTATAAGTTAATATATATATAGAGGGACGAAACTATATGGGGGCTAGGTTGATCCTCAACCCTCAAAATATATGTATTTTTTTTTTATGTAAAAAAATAATAAAATTATGTATTTTATAGTAATTTATCCCTCCTAATTTTTCTATTATGTAATGTAAAAAATCATAAAAATTTTATTCGTTTGTTAATTTATACTTTTAGTCTTTAAATTTTATTTTTTATACTAAAAAAAATATTAAATTTTATATAATTTTGTTGAATTTTTTTCTAAGACATTTAATTTTTTATTTTTTTTTATTGCCAGGGTGCACTATGAATTAAAAAAGAATTGATTTTGTCACTCCGAATTTTTACTGCTAGTTCCGTCGCGTTTGTGTGTGTGTGTGTCTATATATATATATATATATTGCTACATTTCAATTTACATGGCAAGAACAAAATCATGGTACGTCAGAACATGTTTATAGTAATGATATTCTAAAAGCACAGCTGTATGATGAGATATGTCTGTCTGTATGACTAAACTTGCTCTGTAGTGCCTTCATGGTTCATCACTTTGGTTTGCTTTATCACTGGGAATATCAGTTTCCACACTGCATGCCAATTAACATAATATATAAATCCATCACATTTTATTTAAATCCAACATTTTTTTTAGGAAATTAAAATAAATGCAAAAATAGGGAGGGTTTTGTGCAATACTAAACCAAAAGCACCCAAATGGGTTGTTTGTCGTGAGAGATAGGATAAAATTATAATTATAAATTTGAATTTAATAATAAAGGAGAGGAGGGAGTTGGAGTATTAAACTTACAGTAGATTGTGGCTGCAAACCACTCGTTGACAATCTTGACCCACGTGCTAGCCCACCCCACATCGATGCTCCACCTGCTTAATTATTTATTAATTAATTTGTCATTACAAACATACGTACATACATTCAAACAAGGTTTGGTTTAAATAATAATAATAACAATCATATATATTTGTTATGGTTAGAAGCAGAGAAGAGAGGACGAGGGTAAGTAAGTAAATAGATGATAGTTATCCACTCCATTCATTCATTATTCAGTATATATATGTTATATAATATCCCTCCGTTCCACATCCCATATTCCTTTCTTTTTTAAAAAAATAATTCTATATTTTAATCTAATTTTAAATTTTTTAATTTTAATTAATTTAATTAATTATCTTTAATATATGATTATTTATATTATAAAATAATTATTTTCGTTAATACATTCTGAATTATCTACTAATTATATTTATCCTAAATTATCGTATCTACAGCGACCGAGACATCCAATGTGGGACGGAGGGAGTATAATATATGAGAATTGTTAAATGTTAATAATAAATTGGCTAAATTGCATCAAATCTACACGTGATTTCTTGAAATTACGCCAAATTTACTACATGCGTCAAACTCTGTCGTGCTTTCATAAACTTTGGCCTAACCTCTCGGCAGTTTTTATTTAACTGTATTTAAACTGCCAATTTCAATTTCTAAATTTCTAAAATTACAAATATATTTATTTTTCTTATTTATAGTTTATATCTTTAAATAAAGACTGCCGAGGGGTTAGACATTAGACACGGACTTTATGAAACTACGACAGAGTTTGATGCAATTTTAGAAGTACGGCAGACGCAATTTTGTAAAATCACGTGTAAATTTTGTGCAATTTAGCCATAATAGGCGAAAGATTATTGAATAGAAATGTTACTTTGGAGTAAAGGTCCCTAAGTTCCAGCTGATGAAGAGCATGGCGAAGTACATAGCCCCCAAAGAGAAAACCACATGGAAGAATGCATAGCTGTACGGCGGCACCTCCCCCTTCTCTTCTTCTACTGATTCTGATTCTGATTCTGATTCTGATTCTGGAGACTTACCAAACTGTAATGGAATGGAATGGAAAACTGTGTTTGATTCACTTGCTCTTTAAATTTCCTTTTTTCTTATAATCAGATCAATATTGAAGTATCAATCTTCTTCGTACCTGAAACGACTGAGAGTCGATTCCTGTGGAGAAGGTCGCTATTACAATGGCACATACAGCAATGATGAAACCCTGTCATCCACATCACCATCAACACCAAATTCAAATTCAAATTCAAATCCAAATTCAAATTCAAATGCTTACGACTACAGTGGACCAACCACCATGGTGTTCCTTCTCCCCTTTCTGAGGGCTGCATTTGTCGCTTGCCGGCTCGCTGTCATTCATTAATCAACTCATCATCCGATCAATGTATGTTTTGTATGTATGGTCGAATTGTGTATAGTATACCTCCGAATGGCGGACCAGCAGAGGAACACTATGTAAGAAGCCATAATCCCTGAAGACAGCAGCCCTCTGTTTACCTTGGAGTGCAACGATATAACCATCATCACAACCAGCAGAACACCAGTCCACGAAATGAAGAATATGTTGAGCGAGCACGACACTTTAGGAGCGTAAAGAACATACATCGCCACAATGCCACCAACCGAACCGATATAAAATACCGTTGACATGAACAGCCCTATCGAGCAGCTATCAAACAGCCCAAATTAAGTTCCATTACAAGCTAAGATTGTCATGGTCATAGAGGTTGGTTTTAACAGGATTCGAATAATGTGAAAGTGTACCTCATTTTGTTCTTGTCATCAGACATCCAGTAGTTATTCCACCAGGTGATGAATTCGATTACACTTATGAGCTGAAGAATCAAAAACACCCTGCGCTGCATCACTTATATAGCATTGTACCCTCAATTCTATTACGACGACAACAAACATGTGTACGAAACAAAAACTTACCCCGCACCAACTCGAGCAAGTTCACCTGAAAAAACAATTGCTTTTTCGTCAATTCCAGCAACATCATCCACTTCATTTAAAAGTTCTTTCTATTTGTAAGTATTACCGTAAAGCTGAATGTAATCAGTCGGGATGAAAAATGGGATCACGAATGAGATGAGCAGCATAACGATCTTCGGAGCCCACCATCCCGAATGCCAAGTGTTCCGAACTTCATCTAATTTTCTCGTGTTACATGTTGTTAGGCACATGATCAAGAAGAATATCTTCATCATCATCATCATCATCATTGCACGTTAAGGGAAACCTCTACTTCTAACATTCATGTCGTGGAGTAAACAAAGAATGGTTAGAATTAGCTTCCAAGAAATAAGGATACAAAGCATCCTAAACTAACACGAAGCACCCCCATCGTATGGTAGCACTCTCTCTCCTCTGCTCCACAGGCCTTCGAATCTGTAAGAACATCCATGGAGTAAATATATAGTTCGACTACAAAACAGAGAAACTAATTTCTAGATAATAGGCAAACTTACAAGGCAGCATTGGGAGAATCCTCTCGCCGTAATCCCGGAACAGCCAAGCAATAACATTCGTCAGCAGAAAGATAACAGCGTATGCATAGCGAGCTCGCAAGGCTTTCTTCTTTCTAGCAGAAAGCTTGGCAGTCTTCTGCTCTGGCATGGCGGCAGCTCCACTTTGCGACGATCCATTCTCCCTTTCTTCCGGCATTGCAGCAGCACTTGCACGCTGCTCGCCCATCCTACAGTCCACAACAACCAATTGTTCCCATCACAACTGATAACAACAAATTCGACCTTCGATTTGTTCTTCGGTCACGGCATATATATCTTGACATTATCTTAAGATTCCGTTTCCAATAATCCCTAGAACTGGATAACTTATGCAAACGTGAAAGAATGCGAGAAAAATGGATTGTCCTTGTAAGAGCAGTCAAGTTTCCTCCATCAACCAAAAGCAAGCATTGATAAATTGAATCTAGCAAGTAAAGCATAACAAGTAAGTGCACTCGTTTCGCTCACGCAAAGAATAAGTGCGTGCATCGATCGATCGCAGCAAGCTGCTTCAAAAGAAGAAACTAAAATGGCATACGCATTTTAACATACTGTATGGTGATGACTTTGCTTTATCGCTGCAAGACCGATTAACACTCAAAAAACTTTCTGGTGGCCAAACAGAGTAACTTAACTAACTGATAAAATTACAAACAAAAAAACTTCTGAGTAAAGAAGAAGAAATCCTGCATTCTTCGAAACTAAAGAATCACCAATGCAGGAAAAATATTCTAACACGCAATCAATCCAGCTGCTAAGTTACATTTTCCGGACACTAACCCTAACTGATCTTCAATTTCTCCTTTGGAGGAAGAAATTAATTCTTCAAATAGACGAACAACAAACACAAGGGTGGGGTGGGGTGCCTGCCTGCCTGCCTTGATTCTAAAATCTCTTCAGCTCGAAAAACACATACACACAGCTTTGGGATTTTACAAGGGAAGAAGATCAAGAGTAGCGTAGGGCCCTCCAAATGGAAATCATGTAACAACTCACTTTTCCTCACATCTGCTATAATTTCATCAACCTTTTCTTCTTTTCATATTGTATACATATGTGTGTGTATATATATATATATGTATGTATCATGTATGTATATGATAGAAACAGTAAAGATGCCAAAAGCAAGGAAGAAAGAGGGGGTGAGAGGGTGCCCATTTTGAGATAGTAGGCCTTGGAATAAGTGCCTTGAGGTACAAGTTCTCCATTCATTCGCTGCACAGGAATTTATTAGTCTTCATTCTTCAACCCTCTATTTGAATTTCTCCATTCTATTTATTTTCTTATTGTACTTTTCTATTTATTAGTTATTTTTTTATTAATTTTTCATACAAATTAAAATAAATTAGTATTTGTTAGATGTCTAATAGTGTGCTTTAAAAGTTTTATTTAATTTTTGCATAAAGTGAAATAGGAGTTACTTTTTCCTAAAAAAAATAAAAATTTTGATTTAACTAATTAAAATGAAAAATAGAAAATTCAGTAGCGGACAAAGTAAGTACAATTTTATTATAGGAGTATTTTTTAACTACTTGCTTCGCCATTGATATTTATGTTCATTTCACCCCATAAGTTATAGAAAAGTGGGTTTTTGTAAAAATATTTTTTTTTCTTTTATAATAAAGAAAAAAGATACTCACCCTGTCAAAATAAATAAATAAAATAAGTATAATTTAATTGGTTAATGGAAATATTTAAAAAGTTTTGAAAATTTTGTTTTATGATGCTTTTTCTAAAATAAAATATATATATATATTTTATAATGGTACGGGGTAAAAATAATACTTTGAATTTGGTCAGAATGAGTAATATTTTGTTTTTTTACTTAAAGAACAAAAATAATTTTTATAACAACTAAAAATAAAAAACAAAAAGAAAAGTGAATAACAAAATAAATATCATTTTTAATATTTTTCAGTTTACTTGTTACTAATTTGGATAAGATTAACAAATTAATATTTAACTATTATCATATATTTACTACTAATTTACAACAAGTATTATGGACTGACGGTCCAGGTATGTTTCTTTTGACTAATTTGAAAAAAAAAATTAATTGGAATTTAATATCAAAATAACATTTGATGGAATATTTATAAAAAAATATATATATATTTTTTAAAAAAATACAAAGACCAAATAATAAAATACTGAATTATTTGGGCTAAAGAAACACACCCATGGCATTCAACAATTATTGCCATTAAAAATAAAGCCCAGAAACAAAACACCCAAAAAGAGAAATACAAATGTATCTATTTATCATGATTATTATGTTTTTTTTTTTTTTTCCCTGATAATTATTATGAGAATATAATTACGTGATGCCTTGAGCAGCCATGTCTGATGTTTCCCATTTCGTGTTCATTCTGCATTTCCCTTCTCTCACAAATTAATTGCCTTTTTTATTTGTTAGATTATATTCTTGCGATTTCTAGTTTTAGACGTTAGCTATAATACTCTTTCCCTCCTATATAATTTGTCCATATTGTCTATTTTTATCCGTCCCACATAATTTGTCTTTTTTTTTTGAAAAATTGATTATACATTTTAATCATATTTTAAAATTTAAAATTTTTTCAATCTCAATTAAACTATTTAGTTATCTTAATTTTAATCTATAATTATTTTTACTAATACACTTATTAATTATAAGTTACTTAAATTTTTGTATCAATAGTAATGCGTCCATCTTATCTAGGACGGAGAAAGTACATTATATACTTTTGTTCGATTCATACATACATATATATACCAAAAATGATAACCAGTGTATGATTATAGATTTAGAGCAAAAGATAAAAAATAAAAAATGATCATACACTTCAACAAATAAAATCACAAACAACTCTAGTTATTTCTGTTAGAAAGTTTTGGGGAAAATAATGAGATTGTCTTGTTATTATCAAAATAAAGAGCCTCTGTATATAGGTAATACAAAACAGACTCTCGATAGATTCAAATCTAAATAATCTAATCTATGAATAAGATCAAATCTAGACATAAATCTACTAAATCTAAATCTGAATATCTAAAATATCTCAACAACTTGTATAAAATAAAATATTTAACATACAATTTACCAAGGGGTTGCTTATAGGAGGAGTAAGGTGAGCAATTGCTCAGAACCCTAATTAATAGATGATTCATATTTTAAAATATTATCAATTATTATTAAAATTATTTTTTAAACTTTAATCATATATTTTTTTTCTCTTTTTTTTCCTAACCACGTCTCATCTTATCTTTTCAAATTTAATCGTTGTCTACACTTCTTTACCTCACATTTTGTCGCATTGCGCCTACCAACTCAGACCAAACTCATCTCACCTTCTCTTTTATCTCTTTCACCCTCCTTCAGTCGTTCTCGCTTTTCGAATTTCCGGATAGACCGTTTTTCATCTTCTTTTCTCAAATTGACATTATTCATACTGTGACGTTCAACCTCTTGTTAAAAATACATTTTAATCATATGTTTATAAAAATTTATAATTTATTTTCGCTCAGACTCCAAAAAAGGTTTGAGACTTTCTGCAATTTACAAGAACAAAAACTATAAAAGCAAATATCATAAATAAAAAAAAAAAGTCATCTTCATTCTTCCACTTAACGTTAGTCAAAATATGGAGTATTTACTATAATAGAATTTTATCACAAGAACCATATTAGTAGTAAAGTACATCTTTATTGTACTAACAAGTTAGATTTTATATTGTAATTTATAAAAACAAATTTGATTATTCCGTTACATTACTTTAAAAAATGTGGAAAAGTAGTGAAATTTCCAGATAAATAAAATAAATTAATTAACATACTCACACATATAAATATATATATATATATAAAGGTACGTAAAAGAAGGATTAAAGATAGATTATTTGATAAAAGAAAAAAGCAGTTGAATAGATTGAGGGGAAGCTTTTTCAACGAATAATGTAGAACATACGTATGGAATTCTCTGTCTCAAAATAAATTTTATCTCTATATTTCCACACACATAATATATATATACATACATCTATATATAATATATACACATAATGTATATACCGTAGGGATAACTGGATAAGGGGATAAGGTGTGTTAATGAGACAGAGAATCCGGTCTGAAAATATACATACAATGTAATTATGTTTCCCTAATCAGTGATAAAAAGTACATCAAAAGAGAATTAGAAGAATTAATTAAGGAGATGAAGAAAGTATAGAAAATATATCTCATTTTGTGATTTAATTATGTGTTATAAAAAATATACATGTATATAATATGACATAATATTAATAACATGTAAGAAACTAAAAGAAAAGAATATGCCAAATTAAAAGAACAAAACCCTGGTTATTATTATTATTACTCTCTCCGTCTCAGTTATCATATCTATATTGTCGTTTATATCCGTCCCACATTTCATGTCACTTTCTTTTTTTTCTGAAAATGATTAAACATCTTAATCTCATTTTAAATTTTTTTAATTTTAATTAAACTAATTATTACTCCCTCCGTCCCGATACCGTGTCTGCTACACTGTAGACACGGTATTTTAGGAGAAGTATAATTAGTAAATAATTAAGAATGTATTAGTGAAAATAATTATTCTATAATATAAATAATTATAAATTAAGATTAAGATAACTAATTAGTTTAATTAAAATTAAAAAATAAATAAATTAAAAAATTTAAAATGAGATTAAAATGTGTAATCATTTTCCAAAAAAAAAAAATGACACGGTATATGAGACGGACAGAAATAACTACGTGGACACGGTATCTGGACGGAGGGAGTATTATTTAGTCGGGGGTGGGTGGAAAGAGAAGAATGGGCGTGGCAGTACCAGTAGGCAGTAGTAAGAGTGGAGGTGAAGGAAGGTGTAAAGCGAATGCATTATATATGAGACAATACACAACAAGACAAATTAATAATATATGAATATCAAATTATTATATTAATAATGAGAATTATACTACGCTCTCCATCTATAATTATAATAAATATTTATAATAATAATAATAATAATAGTAGTAATAGACCGTTGGGGAATTGAAATTGGAATTGGGATGGTGCTCGAGGAGGATATACATACATGTATGTATATATATATATATATATTTATGTTGTAATAAGCTGAATTGTTTTCAGCTAATTAATTTGTTTTTGCTGTCTGTAGTAGTAAAAACAAGTTCATTTGGTTTGAACATAAATTTTAACCAGATACCGTGTCTGCTACACTGTAGACACGGTATTTTAGGATGGGTGTAATTAGTAGATATTAGTAAAAATAATTATCTTATAATATAAATAATTATAAATTAAGATTAAGATAACTAATTAGTTTAATTAAAATTAAAACAAATAAAATTTAAAATGAGATTAAAGTGTGTAATCATTTTCCAAAAAAGGAAAGTGACATGGTATGTGTGACGGATAGAAACAACAACGTGGACATGGTATTTGGGACGGAGGGAGTATTACTTTCTTTTTTTCTTTTATAATAAGAAAATTAGAAAAAAATAATTAAAAATAGTAAAAAGCTGTGGTATTATTTTTTTTGCTAAAAAAAAAAACAAAAACTAATTAAGGTATTTTTTATATTTTATTATTATTTTTTAATGGAAGAAAGAGTAAAACGCTTACACCAAATACTCTATTAATTGTAACCAAATACTCTATTAATTGTATAATGTTGTAATATTAATATAGGATTAGCTAATAGAAATATTAATTATTTTTACGCTAACCACTATTTTATATATTGTATATATTATACTCCCTCCGTCTCAGATACCATGTCCACGTTGCCGTTTTTGTCCGTTCCACATACCATGTCACTTTCCTTTTTTGGAAAATAATTACACGCTTTACTCTCATTTTAAATTTTTTAATTTTTTTTTATTTTAATTAAACTAATTAGTTATCTTAATCTTAATTTATAATTATTTATATTATAGAATAATTATTTTTACTAATATATTTTTAATTATCTACTAATTATACCCCTCCTAAAATACCGTGTCTACGGTGCAGCAGACACGGTATCTGGGACGGAGGGAGTATAATATAAAGTGTATATATATTATATCTTATAAATACAAAAATTGTACTTCTGCCACTTGAAATTATTATTTTACCCTTTCTCTTATTTACATCTTTGTCATTCCCT